AATGCCTTATTTTAAAATCACGTATAAATACGAAAATCAATGTTTGATATTATAAACCGCATGAGCAAATCAACACATTGAATTTTAAACTTGCGTGAATACGAATCGCTACATAGGTTTTTAAAAAGACGTAACTACGAATCACAATATCGGATTTTTAAATCTCCTAAATAAGAAACGCAACGTACAATATTCAAATCGCGTGAATAAGAATCGCAACACGCAAATATGAAAAGCTATGTTCGTGTGAATAAGAATCGAGAAATTAGCAGATTCGAGGTTTGGGACCTCTAAAAGGCTTGTCAGAAGCAGTGTCGTTTGAACTACGAAAATCGGATCTATCTGGAGGGCGGTTAAAAAATTAGGAAAATGTTATCTGCTGCGTGTAAAGTGGGAGAAAATACGTAAAATAAGTAAAAATGAGAAAGGATTGGTAGCTATGTAGCTTGAATTTTCTGCTTCTCTTTGAAAATCGGTGAATTTTCTGAAAAAGCGGAATACTTATTAAAAAAAAAAATGAAATTTTTAGAAAATCTGAATTTTTGATAAAACAACTGAAATTTAAGAGATAAAAGTGAAAAAAGCGGATATCTGCTAAAAAGCGGAAAAATCTCATCCCTGCTACTAGGAATTTCCTGTGAAAGAGTCAATTTTTTTTCTTCTTTTGTTTTCCTTTATCTTTTATATTCTACTTGACTGTTAGGAAAGGGAGGCATTGGTGTCAATCAGTCAACAAAAAGATAAGAAGAGCACCCTTTTTGTGACCATCAGTCTTCAATCAACTTTTCAGTCCTACTAATTCCAGCAATGAAATTCAATCCCCTAAATAATTTGTTAACAACAAATGTCTTGTTGTTGCCCCCCCCCTTTACATGGTGAGTGCTATAAGATGGGGGCTCACAGTGAGAGGACTGTCCCTCTGGTCCATGGAGGGGGAGATAAGAATTGATAGATTTATGAAGAATTAGAATGTAGAAAATCTTATCTTTCAGTTTATTCATGGTATTCAATTTCAATACAAAAGCGAGGAGCTTGTATAGAGCCTAACCCAATTCTACTGTCATTTTGCTAGATACTTTTGTGAATGCTTTGAAAAAATATAATAATTTTTTTAACTTCAGAAAAATAACTATAAATATATTTTTATTGATAAGATAAAACAGAAAAAAATAATTTCAAATTGTGAATAATTATCATTTAAATCGCGCGAATTGAATAACTTTCCTTCAAATCGCGCAATTTTAAAAAATTCGCGAATTTTTGAAAATAACTTGAAATTTTGCGGAAACGGTCGCGGAAATTCGCGCCGCGACAAACTTGCAACCCTAGTTATGATTGACTTTAAATGAACTTGAAATGCTCTGTATTACTCACAATTTATCAGAGATAGTTAAAAGACTTTTAAAATAATTTAAAATGGGAGTTCTGAATAAAACAAACTGAACATTTTAGAACAAAAAAGGTTTTAAACTGATAATTTTAACTTTCTCTGTAAACAAGGCCCACTTCACTATCTATCAGTAATACTTATTTAAATATTTAAGCAGGCACTAAATCTGTGCAAAAATGCTATTTCAATAGAGATTTTTTTAAGAAACACACTCAATTTTAAGAAATTTCCTGAAAATGTACAAAAATCAGGAGAATTTTTATTAATCCAGTAAACCAGGAGAAACAGGCAAAATCCAGTAGAGATGGCAGCTATGATAAAGCAAAATAATTTTAACTACTTTGTTCAAAATAAATTGCACACAAAATATCCTACGATATACAATAGAAAATAAATAATAAAAGTAAAATTGCTTAACATACGTGGAAAGGCAAATAAAACAATGGTATTAATTATTCAAAAGTTCTAAGATTCATAAAAAATAATTAGAAATGATAAACAAACGTTTTGCACAAACCTGGTAGTTCAGAAGCTTTTTTAATAAGGGCATGCACATCTGGTTCTGACAAACTCTTAAGAGTGTCATGATAAAAGTGTGTAAATTGTTGATCAGGATTAATGGCAGTGGCACAACATCGGCTGAGCAAATTCCCTAAATTATCAGCTAGCTCCGCGTTTACCATTCTGTGTAGCTTCACCTCACTATAATCTAGAATAACATTCAAAATCTAATGAATACAGAAAAATATAGTAGAAAGCCTTATCACAGTATTTTCAATTACACTTGATCTGATCTGCATAATGAAATGATTAATAATTTTAAACTACTTTTTAAAATTAAATTTACAGGGAACTTATTAATTTATAATGCTACTGATATTTGAGCATTGTTTGAGATGGCTGATAATTTTTCACCACTTTAAAACACAAAGTTTAATAAGTATCTGGCTTAAAATTTTTTTTTGATCAACTAGTTTTTTTTTTTTTTTTTTTTTTTTTTNTTAATAAGTATCTGGCTTAAATTTTTTTTTTTGGCTACCTCTACAAATTACTCATTTCAGGGGCATTTAATTGAATAATATGCTCTGGGCATCAGCAATAAACTTCTGCAGGCAACTGATTATTATAATTATTTAGCATCAAATAATATTCTAAAATGAATAGCAGCAAAATTCTCAATTGGGAAACAGTTTAGTTTTTTTGGTGATTAAATTGCAATCCATTTAATATTTTTTAATTAATCTATAACACAGATAGAATTACATATTTTCTTTTCTCTATGGGAATTTAAGCAAATACTTATCAAACTGCATAAACCACAGTATTTTAAGAAAAGAAAAACTAAAAATGCTTAAAGGACACTTAGAAATAAACTAGCATTATTTAATATTTGTATCCGCACGGATTTGTAGCGCCACCTAGTATAACTTGTAACACAGAGAGAACAAGAGTGTGTGTGGAAGGAGAGCTGTAACGAGCTACAAAAAAGCTCTCTTCCAAATAATAATAAATAAATATTGTGAATTTACAGTCCGCTTATTTTCTGTTTATTGAGCGAGTTCATATTTACCTGACCGTCGACAATATTTATCAACTAAAAATAGCATTTGTGCAGACTTTAGAAGACCAAGAATTCTGGAATTCTCAAACAAACTATTGTTTTTAATTTTAGAAATTTATTTCAATAGAAATAAATAATTATCATTTAAAAAAAGCAGTTAGAATGCAGTACAGAAAAAATTACAAATAGCATATAATTAAACAATTAGCAAGAATTCTTACATAATTGTTTTACAAGCAGCTGTATCCACATTCCAACAATAAATTTAATAAAAAAAAAAAAAAAACTGTTTTTCTAATTATTTTACAATAAATACACAAAAAAATCCATATTAAAAGTCTAAAATGATTTTGAAAACAAAAATCACACTGAAAATATTTCTTGGAACAAAATCTGAAAATATTTATTTTATTTTGAACTGGACAGAAAACATACAAAAAAACATGAATAAAGTTAATTTTTATAAGAAGATTATAGAAATTTTATTAGAATGGAATTGTGAGTATGAAGATAACTGCTGTTTGTGAAAAGAAAAAAAAAAAAAAAAAAAAAAAAAAAAAAAAAAAAAANAAAAAAAAAAAAAAAAAAGAAGAAAAAAAACTTTAAGTAACAAGTGCCATTTATTCAAATTATGAGTAATAATTACTTTTACTGTAGTCTTTTGCATACAAAATATATGAACGATAGTTACTTTTATTGTTGTCCTTTTCATACAAAATATGAGCAATAATTACTTTTACTGTTCTCCTTTTAATACATTTAATACCTGCCTTTACATTCAGTCTTTTTTAACACCTAACTCAAGTTTAATTATAGGCACTATTCTTTTTTTAAATATTTAATAGTTTGTTTCTAAAGAATCTCTTATCCTGTATAGAATAAAAAAAAATATAGAATAAATAAAATTTCAAATAAAGCAGTTTATTACTTGTGTCAGAGTGAGGAACTGATGCTCTTAGCATGAAATACCGAAATCCATCAGGACTATATTTTTTCATCAGCGTTAAAGGATCAATAACATTTCCTTTACTTTTAGACATCTGCAAAATAATAGAATTCTTATACCACATTCTCTGAAATTAAGCCCAACTGCCTTGTGGGTGCTAAAGACTTCCAGGAGGCATTAGGGCTTTTAGATGGAAAGTTACAATAAGGAGAAGAAATCATTTTTAAACATTTTTTTTCCAATGCCCACCTGGAGAATGTCCTTTCGTCATGCAGGCATCTGAAGGGCATATTTGTTGGCCACTCTTTCAGGGGCATCATATTAGGTGGGCCAACATTGCTCCCACAGTAGGATAATGGACAGATAGTACAGAGAAGGAAAGAACATCTGTGCATTGCCTGGGATTGAAACCCAGAACCTTTCTGACACGAGGCCCGTCCCCTGACTCCTATACAGGCTGGTCGGCACATTTTTAAATATTAACTTTATTAATAATTTTTTGTTGGAAAATAATTCCGCTCTGCTAATAACTTCGCTTATATTACCTGTCAATAATATTATCATACCATCTTTGCCTTTATCCTTAAAAAAAAATTCTTAAAACAAACAATTTTAATGATTTTTTAATATGCAATGATTTTAAATGAAATCATCGCTATTTAAAAAAATATTTTAATCTAAGGTCATCTTCATATTTTATGGATATTAGGTTTCTCTTAATTTAGCTGAAAATGTAGTTTAATACAATATGTAAAAATTTTAGTGTTATGTTTATCACTAGTCATACCAATTTTTTTTCTAATATATATGGGAAGAAATCTTCTTTGGTTAAACTAAACAACATGCATTAAAAAAAATTTAAAAAAAAGAATTAAAATTTACTTAGTAACAAACTTCTAATTCTCTGGAGTTAGCTTATGAAATAGCCTGAATTAGTTTTGAATGAGATTTACTGGAAATATTAATGACACATAGCCAGTTCACCTGATTTAGTTTATGTTAATCACATTACTTTTTTCCATGTTCACATAAAAATGTAACTCTTAAATAACAATATTTAATAGATTATTTCATTTTAATTGCAAACATTCTTAAGTATAAGCCACTTTAACAAAATTGCTATAAAAACCTTCTAATATAAATGGACAGGTAAATATGATTTTTTATTAATTAACCGCAGATAAAAATGCATTTCATATCTTACATAAAAAAATTATCTTGTGCAGTGCCTGGTGATTGATAAGAGTTTGGAAGCCTTTGTTATAGATAAATCTTCAACCATACTGCAAATTGAATCTTGCACCATAAAAAATGAGGAAATCATAAAATATTTAAATATTACATTTTCATGCATATATTTCTCTGTTTGAATAGTTATTTTATGCTTAATCAATTTATGATTTAGACAAATGATCAAAAATTATTAACCTTTTCATGATCTACAGTCCAATGAGAATGACAAAAAATGTGCTTCGGAGGTTCAAAACCAGCAGCAATAAGAAAAGCAGGCCAATATATTGCATGAAATCTAAATGTCAATAAGAATTAATTAATATAGAAAGATATATGAATCGAGAATAAATTAAAGTTCAAATATTTAAATAAAACATGAAATAAAATGTTTTAAAAGCTAAATTATTTAGAGATTATGGTAAATAGGATACCAGATAAAAAATGTTAACAAATACTGGGCCAAACTTTTTGACGACAACCAGGCAGTGGCATTTGAGGTTTTAAAACCTTGCATAAAGGGACAAATTTAAAGAGCTAAAATTGAAGCTATGTCTGGGGCAAGTCCCATATACTTTAAAAAAAAATTTTTTTTTAAAGAATAAAAGGTAAACAGTAGCAACAATCTATTAAAATTTTTTTTTAAAATTAAAAACCTCAGAAATTGAATTTGAAAATGACCATGAAATGACTGAACTAACTACAAATTATTTTTTTAAAAAATCAGAAATAAATAAACCCAACCATTTGAAGACTTTGAGTATGTTTTTTTTACAAAATATAAATGTAGTATTTGATTGATATGATCACAAATAATGGACGAGTATCACACATACACATAAAGTAAATTTATAAATATATATACAATGACTGGATCCTCATTCCACGGGATTACCATCCAAAATTATTCTCCCTAAAATTTAGTATGTTGGAGTTGAACACACTTCTTTCTAGTGTGACGATTCAACATCTAAAACGCTGTTTCTCCCCAAAAAATAGCTTAAATAAACTTTTCCCTTTTTTAAAAAGAGCATTAGTTAATAAAGTGTACCTTTAAGCAATTGAGCATGTAAGTTATTAAAATTTTTGAAATTTAAACAATTAGAACAATCGAGCTCATAGCTTTCACTTTAGTTCATAATTCTCTACTTGAAAATATATTTTAATGATATTTTAAATATTTCTCAAACAAAAAATAAACTAACGACAGAATAGATTAAAACTAAATGTAAAATAATATTCAATGACTCCCTTTCACAAACTTAGGTATCATAAAACTTCGATTAGGTTTCCAATTTAAATAAAAGCAACAATTTTCATTTCAATTAAAAAGTTACAGTAACAAATTAATAAAACATTTATTAAAACTTCAATGCACTCAATCATTTGCTTACACAAAAGATTTAGCAATTCACAAATTTATTTTTACAATTCAAAGCATGCTTCACTAGTTCAGTGACAGATACATTTAACTGTAAAAATGTTTATTATTAGCTTTGCTTAAAAGGTAAAATTTATTACTAGCTAAAGTTAATGTAGAAAAATTTAATAAATAAATTTTTGATGCATGTCAGAAAAGATTTTCTATACTTGTTTTATTTGATATTTTAGCAAGAATAGGAATTTTTTTTAAAAGACTGAAACAAATAAATATTTAATTGGAAATATAATAAAAACTTATATATAAAGAAACACAAAAGAAAACTTAAATTACAAAGGAAACTAATTAGTTGATTCTTACTTTAGTATATCTTTTCCAATAACATGGCAATCAGGTGGCCAGAATGAACTAGTGGAATCATTTGAACTCACAGTTAAATAATTAACTAACGCATCAAGCCAAACATAAATCTAAATTAAAATAATTAATAAATAAATAATTTGGAAACAGTAATAACTAATATAACAAGAATAATGATTTATTTAGAATCATTGCATATCTGAGTATATTTATGAGTAAAAAATAGAGATCAATAGAGTTAGTGATGCCATGTACAATTTTATTAAATGTTCTATAATAATCTAAAATAAAAACCAAACGTAATTTGAATAAAAGAATATTAAATTACGATTTGTGTTTCATCATCAGGAACTGGTATGCCCCAAAACAGACGAGAGCAAGGTCTGGAGACAGACAAATCAATCAGGCCTTCTGCAACAAATCTTTTTACATCATCTTGAAATATAGAAGGCTTTATCACTGAAAATAAAAAGCAAGCAATTATTTCGGGTAAAAATTTATAAAGAAGGAAAATAACACAGGAGATCAAATTTCTTTTTGTAGTTTGCAGTATGAGATTTTTTAATAGATCTCAGATGCTTTTGTATCGCTTATTTTAAATCTGCAATCGGTTTTCTTTGAAAGCTACAGTTTTTTAAACAACATTTTTAGTCCTGTTATGTAGATATATATAAGCTTAATGCCACTGGATGCTCCTAGGGGTGCTTCCTTATTAATAACTGTTTCTGTTCATGTGCTTCTAAACATGTCATAATAGGGAAGAACCCTAAAATACACACGTTATCGGGTGTGGGTTTTTATGCATTTTTAATCACAATGATGTGCCCAAATTACCCCAGACGTTTATTGCAACTTCCTGTTAGATATAAAATTATCAAACTTGTATATTTTGAAAAACATTGTCATACAAAATCATTAGATTAAAGAGCAAAACTAATTTCAGATTTGAAATCTCCACATGCGAATTATGAAAGACCAAGTATTTGTATAAATGCAACAAAAACTTTGTTCTCCAGTGTAATTTATAAAATAACAAACACTGAACACTCTATAATTACATTTTAAATGTGTTCTATAATGGCTGCCCTTAATATACCGTTTTAAATACCTGTCAAAAAGTTACAATCCAACAAATCATAACTAAGGAAAAGCTCAACTGAAAACATCAAAGCCTGTTTAACATACAGAAATACTAGAAGTTGAAAGGGACCGCGAGTAAGATTTCCTAATTTCATTAGGTATTCAAACTGGTTTTAGGGGTTTTCCTGCCTTTCTTACAAGTGATTTGAAAGAGTTTTATAATGTTTTGCTTTCTCCACCCTTAATACCCATATATATTTTTAAAAGGATTCTAAAATTATGTATAGAGGGCGGTGATTACAGTACACTTGTATTTGATTAAGCATAAAATACATACCATCTTTGGAAAGCCAATATAAAATGTCATTTTGATATTTAGAAAGGCAAAATACATAATTTTCTTCTGACATTTTCTCTACTGGTGATCCTGTTTCACTTGATACCTGGATTTAAATGGATTACAATATAATTATGATTAATGATATAATTTAATTATAAAAAGAGGCATATTTAAAACATTAATAATAATCAATATTAGCCACAAGAAGGAAAAACAAATGTAAAGTTAGTAAATTAATTATTTAACATTATGACATTATTTTCCATTATGTTAATACAATTCAGTACTAACAAACATATAATGAAATATATAGTCTGAAATTTAATAATGGATGCTATAATTGGAATATGAATTCTAAAATTTTAAAAAGTATTCTGAAAAATCAATGTTTCTCATGTTTAAAAGCTTTATAATTTCAATTTTTATATAATATTTTTAAAAATTAAAAAACAATGCACATTACTAGATACTTATAAAGAATTTTTTATTCTATTTGTAATTTTTGATTACTTAATAATAAGAATGATTAATTATTAATAAGATTGATGAATTAATAATAAAGTTTCAGGAATTTTACACACAATACATAAATGAATATTTATATTTTGTTATCGTTAATATTTTATTAAAAAACTTTTTTTTAATGTGAAATGGGAACTACATTATCATTATTGAAAATAGTGCGCTTATCATTAAGAAAAAAAAAAACAGAAGAAAATTGAAGAAGCTATTTTCACTGTTTGCAAATATTTTCAGACATTTTCAAAATATATACTGATTCATTTTCACACAATTTCTTTAATCTTTAATTATAGACATAGTAAAACATAAAATGGTGTATAAATAACAAACATAAACAAATAAAAAAATTGAAACCACAAACTATCCATTTTAAAAAACAAGTACTAAAACACAGAAAAAAATGAGACTAAGGCTAAAATAATAGATTTTTACTTATGCTTCTGACTTTCAATACAGTAATAAAAATATCATAGCTTTTTTTCAGATATTTTTAAAATATTTCAAATTAGGTAAAAAAATGTGTGAAATAAATGTATATTCAGTTGTAAATGTATAACAGTTCTATTGCAATAAACAATGGACAGTTAAGAGAAGAAATTATAACATAAATACAGATAGGAATAATCTAAACAGGGACCATTTAAGTCGAAAGTTTTTTTTTTACTCAATTTAAAACTTGATTAAGAATATTTTTTTTAGTAATAATAAGGAAAATTATCACCTACAGTAATTGTGAAGATTTTGCAATAAAAACATAAGTGATTGTATTATACAACATGATCTTTACACTGATAAAAACATACTAAATCTTTAAAAAAAAAAATTAAAAAAAATCAATTATAAGCAAACAAAATTTGTTTACTAAAAAGCTTTATTATAAATAAAGCAGTTTTTTAAAACCTGAAATGTTTAAAAGAATAATGAATGCTAAATTTGCTTTTGATTTTTACAAAGCTTTTGGACGAAATGCATTAGCAACAAAAAAATGCATAAAGAATGCAATAAACGAAATTTGTAGGTAAAAATAGACAGATTAAATATTAAGTATTCATTTTTTAAAGCTGAAAAGTTTAAAAGAATAATGAATATGTAAGTTATACTAATAATATCCTTAATCTTTAAATATAATAAGCTTATACACTAAATCAAAATAAAAGTGGATGCAAATGCAATTAATATGAATGACATATATGTCGTAAACAAACACTAATAAATGTTTAGCAGGGGACTGCAGATGAAATAAAAAGCAAAATGCAAGCATTACACATATACACAAGTATTACACATATATGTGTTTTATGAATGAGCCATCATCAAGAAAAATAAAGCCACAGTTTGAGAACTTACTTCAGTTTGAGTTCTTGTAAAGCCACAGTTTGACTTTTTAACTTGAAATAAAATTCTAATTTTAAACTACACTTATTATTTTGCTGAAAAGAATCGGCTGAATTTTTAAATTGACAAATATTACTAATTTGGCCAGATTTTTAAACAGAAATTAAAATCAGTATATTTAAAAAAAAAAATTAATTTCTGCACATTTCTATGAGTCAAACAGAATTATTTTTTTAATAGAAAAATCATAAATACTTTTTATTGTCAAATTAATATGGCTTTTGACAAAAGAACCTTCAAACAGTACTTATAGAACAAGAAAACAGTTTTAAATGTACTTTAAGCTAACAAGGAATACCATTTTGAATTCTGACCCTTCTTTGATTTCTTTAACTTGAGATGATGGAATGAAAGCTTCATCAATTACACTGTACCAACCCTCATATTTATCTTTTCTGATGCAACCCTTGGCATCCAGCATTTTCTGCAAAATAAATAAACAAAACTAAGATTTCATATAAAATTTGAGAAAAGATCTTAGAATAAAAGCCAAATAATTGATTGATCGCAAGAAATATTTTAAACTTACCCAGAATTTTTGAACCATACATTTATGTTTATCATCAGTGGTTCGAATAAATTGAGTATATGATACATCACCAGCTTTAAATACTTCCTGCAGAAAGAATATTTCTTCTTAAAACAAATATGTATACAACATAAATAATTCATAATCAAATAGCTTTNATTTTTTTCCTTTTCACCAATATGAGTAGCAATTCAATTTTAAACAAAGTGGAATATATATTACTGTATATTTAAATAAAATAAAATGAGAAGCTGTTTAATGGTAAACTTTTAGTTTGCATATTGTATACTATTTTATAATTATAACATCAGTAAAAAGAATGCTGCTAACTATGCTTTCTAAATACGAGGGTGTTTCGAAAAGTAAAGATACACCGTACGCCAGAGGAAAAGAAAAGTTTTGTCGAGCAAGTTGGCAACGCAGGTTTTAACCTTGAACCGTTAGCTTTCTCCTCGCGGTGGTTCGGCATTTCAACGTTCATTCTGGTTGGAGTAGGTCGTGTTTAAAATGGCTGCGGCGATTCAGAATCCCGCCAAATGCGAAGTGCGCTCCGTCATACGTTTTCTTCATGCAAAAGGTCAGAGACCAGCGGATATTCACAAAGAAATTGTTTCTGTTTATGGGAACGTTATGAATAGACAAAATGNTCTCCTCGCGGTCGTTCGGCATTTCAACGTTGATTCTGGTTGGAGTAGGTCGTGTTTAAAATGGCTGCGGCGATTCAGAATCCCGCCAAATGCGAAGTGCGCTCCGTCATACGTTTTCTTCATGCAAAAGGTCAGAGACCAGCGGATATTCACAAAGAAATTGTTTCTGTTTATGGGAACTTTATGAATAGACAAAATGTAGCGAAGTGGTGTCGTCATTTCTCTGAAGGTAGGACCGATATTCATGACGAACAAAGAACAGGTCGGCCATCTGTGATCTGTGATGCCCTTCTTCAGAGAACAGAGGAAGCAATTCGCGCGAATAGACGTCTCAAATTGAAAGAATTGCGTCAGATCATACCGNTGAGCGATAACCTCTTATACAATAACAATTAATAGTTGAATTATTAATTATAAAACAATGGAACAGAAGGTTTATAAAACAATATGCTTACATTTTAAAGGGAAAACAGAGGCCGATCAGCCTGAATAAGAAGTTGGTGGGCCGCACAATATGTGTTGGCGGGCCGCCAGTTGGACAGCCCTGTTATATGTGATAGTGGACGGCCAATGACGGCAGAACATTTGAATGAGTGTGAAGCACTGGCAGATTTTTCTTGTATATTTCAACACTATTGGCAAGCAAGAAGTTTAATGGCCTAACGGCTAATGTAACTGGCATTTGACAAGTAAATAAACAAATTATTAAATTTTAGCAAAAAGTAATTTTGTTTAAAGTATTTTATGCGTAAAAGTTGGCAGGTATGCATTAACAATATAAACAAAAGTTTGCTATTTTCTTCAACTATAGTTTTGTTCGCTAATTTTTTTTAGTACAGAAGAAAAAAATTTTGAAAAAAATTCCGAACAATGAAAATTATCAGAGAGGTTATTAGTGAGGGGTTGGGTTTAATGAGGTGGAGCAATGAATATTTTACACCAGGACTATTTTCCAAAAATATAATAATTTCTGAAGAGAACACAAAAAATAATCACCACAAACTTGGAAGACATTTGCATGCAATGTTCTGAAACAGGTACTTTAAGAGTTTCAGCTGCTTGTTGTACCTACATAAAAAAAAAGTGAAAGATATATGCGTTTAATATATTACACATAAAAACATCATTATTGTTACTATATGTTTCCAAAAGCTGACCCGTGAATAACTTAGAATGCACACTTTAAGGGAACCAGATTACTAAACCATGATTTAAGAACAAATCAGTGGAGCATCCTAAAAAATTTTACAATTTGAGGACACCCATATATTTATGAAAAATATTATTTTATATCTACAACTCTAAGATATATAGATTTTTAAAATTGATAGTTAATTTCAGGTGCTGAACCATCTTTATTGGACTTGATTTCATTACTCAGCAGTTTTGGTATTCTATGTTTGATTAAAAAACAAGCACATTTAAGATTCTTTTATTTTTGATATTTATTGCTAGAAAAAAAAACAAGAAGTTTTCAAAGAAATTCAAGGAAGTAATAAAATTTAAAGACATTTTTTAACCTCAAAAATTTTAAAAGTAATCTATTAAAATTCAAAGGAGAACAACTATTGAATTTCCAGGGCAATTCTCAAGTTTTGAGGACTGGTCACCTCACATTTTATTAAAAATTCAAAAACCGTTTATAAGTGAAAAAAAAAAAACTTATTACCAGCTGTATTGATGGTAGAGTTGCATATGAAACTTATTAGATATTTCACAAACTATTTTGGTAACATTAATTCAAGTACAGAAAATACTGAATGATATATGTTGTTCAATCATACTTTACAATAAATCAAAAATAAATTTTCCAAGTTATTCAAAAAATCAAATCTTACAGGAACTCTGATGATTTTTTAATGTTATAAATTAAAAATTTGGAATGAAATAGTTATCCAATCAACATATTGCATCTGGCGTACATCTTTAGCAGCAAAATGTCTTGGGCTCAATATAGATTTAAATGGCCGTTAATTTCCAATATTGGACCTATAGAGAATCGTCTGATTCACTTGATATTTTACAGCCACTTTAAAAGCAACATCGGTCCAATATAGAGTTGTAAGATTCACCCGATATTGGCCTGATATAGGTCCAATATTAAAAATCTAGACTTGTTATATTGGTTCATTGGTGCATGCTCATAGAGGACCCATATTGAGTAAATTTTGAGCTCAACTGGGGCCAAGGTAAAATTGTTGCTATGGATACTTGCAGTAGTAAATCTGATCTGATATTAGATACGGGAGAATAAGATAAAATTTAATTAAAAACTGTATTATTAAACAATAAAAGAGTATTATTAAACAATGGAAGAAAAAAAACATTTGGTTTATTTTCAGAAATAATTCCAGAAAGTATATTTACTATAGAAAAATTATACAATAAATTAAGCAGTTAAGAAATTTTATGATTGACAAATTATGATAAAAAATAGTAATTATTCAGTTTTCCTTGGCAGAATGCTGAACAATTAATGAAGTACTAACATACAAATAGAATAGGAATTATTAAAAAGAACTGGGTAAAGAACAGTTAAAAAAAAATCATACTTGAAAAGTTAATAAAAAATGTGCATGATCAGTTTAAAATAATAAGGATAGTTACTTAAAATTAAAAAGGAAAGCTAATAGTAATAATTGGAAAAGTTATGAAAAGCATGAATGAAATAAATAAGAAAATAAAAACAAAAATGAATAAGGGGGCTCAATGCAACACACATAAATTTTTAAACAAAAGGATAAAATGCCACAACAGATATGAGTAAAATCATAGTTATGCGTAGAAACACTGATAAAAATAAAAAGAAGTATTTAGACCAACAGAAGAATAAGAATTATTTACCTTTAATCCATGCTCATCAGTACCTGTGGAAAATAAGACATCATCTCCCAGTAACCGGCGACATCTTGCGAGTGCATCAGCGTATAAACACGATTGCATATGTCCAATATGTGGAGCTGCAAAAATATAACAAATATTGATTTTAAAAAAGTAAATAAGTTATTCTCTCCCTTTTTAACTTTTGCATCCTTAAGCAATACTTCTCATTGAAATATTTATTGTTTTTATTATACACGTTTATTGTAATATTTATTGTTTTTATTATACACGTTTAGCTTGAAATACTCACAAGGATTAAAAGGAAAAAAAATATGCACTGGATAAATTTTGTATTTGAAATACAGTTTTAATTAAATGAAATATAGTTAAAATGTTATTACTGTCCCATACCCTCTACACACATTTCAGAACTTCCAAAGCAATTTACAAGAATATTAAAATGTTACAGAGACTAACGCATACATATTCTGATATAGTATGACTGTCTACTTGAATATGTGTCATCAATATTCTTAGAATAATTTGTTTATTTTGTCCTATACATCATTTTGTATGTGACCCCAAATTTTGAGTATTCTGTCTGAAGTACAAAAAGTGCCGATAAAAAACTCTAAATTGCTCGAATTGAATAAAATATAACTTCTAGGTTATAAAGAACATTCTACTCCATAAAACAATGTTTAAGTACAATACTATTTACTGAATGTAATTACTGTTAACAGAGGACTCTTAATGTTGAGTAACTAATTGATTCAAAACAAATGTTTAAGAAATAGAACGTGTTAGAATAGAATCTGATAAAAAAAAAAGAAAATTTGGTTGAAATGTAAAATATGACTAAGAGTTGAAAAAAAAGGAAACAGAGCACTACATACAGAAATTAACAAATACTTAAACTTCTATATTGAATAGATGTTAAATTCTATTTAATCAACAGAGGAGTCATTAAAAAAACGCAAATCAAAACAGATGATCAAGGAACTAGATATGCTCAAATTTCTCATATTATTGATTTGACAGAAATTTGAAACACAACTGAAGGTAAAACTAAGTTGTCATACAAAGACCTTAAAAACATAGTTAATTTAAGTAATAATACAAAATGAGATTCTAGAGTTGAGTTAAGTCAGCATTATGATTATTGTTCCAAAACCAACTTATGCTCCACAATTATAAATCACAATTGACAATAATAATTTGCCATTTAGTCATTCATCAATAGTTTTAAAGAGTGCTTAAACAATGGATGGCTAACTGTATAAAGCTAAGCAAAGATAGCGCTAGAGGTAAAAATATTTTGTTAGACTTCCGGGTTATTACTTCAAACTAATTTTTAGCCTAAGTTTGAAAAAACGCACCATCCAAGATTATAACACTTGCAGTGTTTCCAATATAACATGTCCTTTCAATCTACCTTTTACTGAAGCAAACAAATTAATTCAGAAGACTGTGCAAGCTTGCTATGATGCTACATAAAAAAATAACAAACAGTGCTATTTTACACAAATATAGCCAAATAGAAGGGATAAGACTCAAAACATGACAAACCTTTCACTTTATTTATGCTGTGATATTATTTTGTTAAATTTGTTTTAAGTAGTGATGTAACGAATAGTGATGGGACCGAATAGCCGAATATTCAGTGGCCGAATTCTTACTTTTTAAAAATTTCTCTATTGATTGCCATTTTGTAATTAAAGTAATTTTCAAATTTTAATTAAAAAATGAAATAAATATTAACAAAATTGCTTTTTTAATCTTTGTATATTTAAAAAAATTTTAACAACTTGATTTATTTTTTGTAATAATTTAAATATCTTGATGCCAATAACAAGGCAATATGGCTTTTATAAATCTAAATAATTAATAATAGCATATTTTAGTTATAGTTATACTTGTAATTTACATGCTATTTTATTTAAAATAAGAACTCATTACTACTGTTAAATGTATTCTTAACTTTCTTTTTTGTCCGAAAAATTAGTAAAACCCAGAAAATTAAGAACTTCTTAAAGAGTTTCACTTTTGAAATTTTAATTTTGTAATTAAATAATTTTCAAATTTTAAATTAAAAATGAAATAAAT